CCTAAACCCCTAAACCCTCAAGCCCCGGAGCCCTTTGCGGATCTCGGCCTGCTCCTTGCACAGCTGTCGCAACTCCTCGCATCGTTCGTGCTTTCCGGGGAGGCGGGGGCAGGGGCTCTGTTTGGCAATTAGAGTCTATAAGGCTCTGGGGATTAAAGGGCTTTACGGTTTAAGGCCCTATAAGGCTCTGGGGATGAAAGGGCTTTACGGTTTAAGGGTTTTGGATTTCTAAACCGTTTTGAAACGCGAGAGGAGTTCCAACTCAAGTTGCGCTTCATAGACGTCTGGTAGTCAGCAAAATCTGTGGACTCCAAACCCCGCCACCGCCTCCATAACACCAAACCGATATCCCGAAGCAACCCCCTAAATCGAAGATTCCAATCCAGGTGGCTGGATCGACATCGAAGCTTACGTTAGTCATCACTATAACTGACGCCAAACAAACACGCAGAAACGACCCAAGCCGAAACACGACACAGCCCAACCCCCAAAGATTCCAAGCATTGATATGGTCGCTACTTTGTAGGTACTTGGGCCCCCCAAAGTATATACTAGACAATAATTTGGACCCATTGGGACCTGCAATCGCAACACAAACAACATCCATATAAATCATTTCACCAAGCCACAACAGCTGAAAGACATCCTCGGCACCCAAACCCAAACCAACCATCAAAGATCTGACCAAATCTCGTTCGAATGCCACCTCCAAACCCCAGACGCCAGGCCTTAAACCCAAATCACCAAACCCCTCCCCCTAAACCATATTAAGATGACCGTAACCCTGAACTACTTCTTTCTTGCCGCTCTGTAGGTTATGTTCGCAACCCAATACACATCCGCAAAAACCGGAATAAAATTATCATCGCCCTTGAGCCCCGAAATCTTAAACTCCAAACCCTCCTGGAGGCCGTGCAGAAAAACAACAACCCCCCAACCCTAAACCCTAAACCCTAAACCCTAAACCCTAAACCCTAAACCCTAAACACCCCCCCCCTCCCCGCCCCAAGCCCCAGCAAAACCTCGGCCCGAAGGCTTCGAAGCGCCCGCGGCGCGTCCATCCTCTGCCGCCGCGGCCTTTCTGCAAGGCTCAAGAGGACACGACATAGGGGTTTAGGGTTTAGGGCTTTCAGGGTTTAAGGTTTATGGTTTTAGGGTTTAGGGTTTAGGGTTTAAGGTTTCGGGTTTTAGGGTTTTGGGTGTTAGGATTTGGGGCTTACGGGGCTTACGGTCTGCTCTACGGATCTCAAAGACAGCTTCTACAGTATTGCTCTTATTTACGAGGTGCTGCGCTTGCGGTGAAGATCGTCTATAGAGTTGTACCGTAGGTTTCTCCTTGGCGGAGTCCTTTACATCATTGGAGGTACCCCAGAAATCCTGCAGAAAATTGGCCTGCTGAGAAAACCCACAAAATTTGAATCTTGCCCCTCGGGATGTTCCGATCTGCGTGAGTCGTTGAGGAAAAAGCGACAACTGCCTACAGTCTCCGTTGCGGTTCCTTAGATCCTATAAGACAACCTCGAAAAGGACTACACTGGAGACTAGAATTAAGTCAGAAAGCTCAGGAGTCGAAATTGGCACTTCGTAACAAAGTCAGAGAACCTTGCTGCTTTCTGTACAAGCGTCCTTTAAAACAACTGTTTTGAACAGGGCCCAGGTAACGCCTAATTTCTAAGGGGCTGAGTACCCTGGCCCAAAAAAAAGTCAACCTGTTGACTTATTATAGGATTATATAGGCCCCAAAAGGCTAAAGGTTACCTATGCTACTCGGCTACTAAGTAATGCGCGCCCTGAACCCTGAAACCCCAGACCGTCCCTGTTGCCTGAAGCCGTTCAGCCCGATCGGGACATGGCCAGCGACGTATCAATTCCCGGCTACTGGGCCAAGGATTGCTGAGGGGGTCTGGAGCCTGAGGGTTTACCTGGACCCCCAAGAGCCTAACCTTTTTAGGGTTCCTTGGTACGATTTCTTTATATAAGTCCTTAGAAAGGTAGGTTATTTGGGGCTAAGGTAGGGTTTAGGGTTCAGGGTTTAAGGTTCAGGGTTTAGGGTTTAGGGGGTTCGAAGTTGAGGCTTCGAAGTTCTACTGCGGACCGTGGATTAGTCGTTGAGCTTGGCTGCGGTAGGGCTTACGAAGCAGAGTGCACACCACAATTCCCGAAGCTCTTGGCTGAGAGACTACGGACCTTCGATTGCCAACCTCCTCCAACGGAAAGTCTCGAGGCTCTGTGCCTTTGTCTCGTGGGGTATGAGCTCGCATGCTCAGCTAAGCTGCAAGCCAGATCATGAAGCAGGCAGGTTGCTGTCTCTGCTTGTGACTCTTGGGGAATAAATGTCTGGGAGTTTCAAAAGTCTGAGTGTTGGTGCTGCGGGGCTTGCAGTCTAGATTCAATATTCATGGGTTGAGGAATTAGGGGAACTTGACATTCAAGGTTGAAGGATGGAAGAGGTCCGAAACTCAGACCTAAGGCTTACAACCAATACACATTGAAGCCGCCAACTCAAACAATGCGTCGCAGATTCATGCTCGGAGCTATAGGTTTAGAGACTTCAAGGGATCTAAACGGGCTCTATAAGGAGTCTAAAACAGCTCTATAAGCGATCTAGAAGTGCTCCAGAAGGGTTCAGGGTACCAAGATCTAAGACACTTCCATGTTCTGCGAATGGCCTGGAGGTTGCGCAGTGTATTGAGGCCACCAGATATCGCTTCTGGTCGAAAGCCTGTGCCTTTAGAGCCAGGGCTCTAGCATCAAAGGTTCATGGCAAATGTGTTCGGCAGTGCATTCGAGCAGGAAGGTCTCGTCGAGTCAATTCCTGCTCGACCGAAATAGCAGAGTGCAAGTCAACGGACCTCCTGAACCCTTTACCCTTCACGCTAGACCCGTAACCCTAAACCCGAAGACCACAGCCTCCGTGATCAGGTCCCACGCTATGTCTCGACAGTTCTGGACTTCGAGTGAAGAAAGAGACCCGATATACTTTGCGGGATATGTTCCTGAAAAAAAAAATTATGGGCAACTTACAACCGTTTTCCCCGATAAATCGCCAGCAAATGCCGTCGCCCAGTAAGCCACACCAAGTTTCAGAGTGTAGTATTGCCTGCAACCCGAAACCTTGCTTTGAATGTAATGTCGAGGCCTTGAGAGTCAAGGTAGGGTTTCGGGGTATATTATCCCAGAGGGTCCATATATACTACCATTATGGAATTAGGTCCCCAAAACCATATTAGGGATGGTCTTTTGGGACCTAATTCCATAATGGTAGTGTATATGGACCCTCTGGGTATATTACCGGCATAAAAAGGAAGGATCCCCAAAATAGTAATGGCAATCTTTTAGGCTCCTATATGATGTAGCTCTTTGACAACAGGAACATCCAATCGTTACAAAACTGCGAGCTCGTGTTATTTTTTAATTTCTTAAGTATATGACATAGTGAATGTTACATATTATTTAGTATATATTCGGCTTCACCGCACCTAAACCCTACATCTCAAAGTTAAAATCCGAAGATCTCCAATCTCCATAATTACACCCTCAGACGCTGAACCTGAAGAACCCAAGCCCTATGCCTCGAACCTTAAACCGTACCTAGACCCTCAAGAACCTCTATCGCTGTTCTGAATTTTTGGAAGGAAATCATGATAAGGAACCCCAAAAAGGGAGGTTCTTTAGATTCCAGGTGAGTCCTGATTCCGACGTTTGGGCTTTAGCGAAACCCTGCGGCACCATTTCTCGGCCTGACCTGCGCTGCTCAGAGACTCCAATATCCCTTTATTAAGGAATATTCCTTAAATCATATTGGGGATCCTACTATAATTTGAGCTATATTCCTTAATTAAGGGATATTGGAGTCTCTGGGTGCTCTCTTTCAAATGTCAGGTCCTCTGTCGCTTGGCACTGCCATGGCCCAGGCTGCTCAGCACTTTCCTAGGGTGTGGGCTTTCGGGTTGGCTGTAGGCTTTAGCATAGTATACCCATAGGCCCCATAGTGGTTGCTTTTGGGGATTACCTTATAGGATTCTAAATATGAACCCCAAAAAGGAACTACTTTGGGGCCTCTGGGTAGCCAGTATAGCATAGCAAAGCACGGTATAGTATAGGGTTTAGGGCTGAGTGCACCTGCTTTGATTTCTTGTTGATGGGCGGGCGCCGACTTTATAGTTGGGATACGACAGTAGGAAACGACGTGACCGACGAGCAGTCTGGGGTTACCTTGACCCCAAGAGCCTAATGTGTTAGGAACTCATATAAGGAGATCATAATAAGGAGCCCCGAAAAAAATTGGGTTCTGTAGGGTCCAGGTGGGGCTTGGGCTTTTTAAGTGTTCAGGGTGAAGGGTGTAGTGCTCCGGATCTTCGTTTAGTTTAGGGGTTTAGGCTTTAAGGCTCAGAATGTATTTGCAGTCTATGTAGGGTTTAGAAGCTTGTTAGGTCTCAAGGCTTCAAACCGCTTGAGGGTCTATGTCTGTGTCGCGGCTTATTCCCGGAAGACATTAAGATCGAACGCCGGTAAACTCTCCGGGATTTATGGGTAATGTAGGGGCCCTAATAATTAGAATAGGGTGTTGGGGCCCATTACACTATAATCAGAATAAGGAACTCCCAAAGATAATATTTTGTAACTACCCTAGACCCTAAACCCAATATAGGCCTCTATGTTCCATTCGTCGGGCCTTTGGGAGGTCGTCGTGCAGTAGGGTCTGGTCGGGAGTCCAAAGTCCGGGCTGGCTGTCAGTTCAGAGTTGAAGGGTTTAGGGTTTAGGGTTTAGGGTTTGGGGTTTAGGGTTTGGGGTTTAGGGTTTTGGGTTTGGGCTTTAGGGTTTATAGGGTTTAGGGTTTGGGGTTTAGGGTTTAGGGTTTAGGGTTAGGGTTTAGGGTTTGGGGTTTAGGGTTTATGGTTTAGGGTTTAGGGACTTTAACAACTGTCTGGTGCTTAGTAGGGAATGGGGGAATGGGTTATAGGGACTACTATAAGGGACCTTAAGGGACTATCATAGGGATCCATTCCGCCATTCCCTACTAAGCACCAGACAGACAACTGTAACTGGCTTCCCGCTGTAAGCCAGCTCCCATCCTGAACGGTAGGCTCTTCCACTGAAGAATGTGGGCCCAAGCTTTACAACCGATCCTCTTGAGGGACGAGAATCAGGATCCCCACCAGACCGCCTCCGAACACTACGGGAAACCCTGAAGCTGAAGCAGTCCAGCAGCTCTTGCAGCTTGAGGAAGCGTGGCAAAAGCTGGGTATAGACTTCCTGTGGCTCTACGGAGTCAGACGGCGCAGCCTTTCTTCACTGGCTACGCTTGCGGTTGGCTTGGAAATCGCAGCAACGAGTTGTAAGATTCGGTGTTTATGGTAAGGAGGCCCATTTGAGGATCAAGATTTCTCAACATGCCCGCTTCTGAACATGCGGCGCTTTAGCTTTCTCTCCTGCGCGGCCTCTCTCGCCCTCTTTCTTGCTCGCTCTCGCTCCCTCCCCTAAACCCTAAACCTCTGTCTCTCTATCCACTCTTGCTCCCTGCATTGTCTCCGCAGTTTGGGCATGGCTTCGGGCTTTCAGAGATCTCCCAAAGCACCCTCCCCTAAACCCTGAACCCTTTCAAAAGAGCCACACCGAGGGCAGTTGGGGGGTCTGGCTGGGACCAGAGGATGACGGCTGCGATGCACAAACTACTGTAGGAGGAGTAATAATTGGAATAGGGCTTTGGGCTCCTTTCTGGAATCATATCAAGGCGTCTTGAGGCATAATGATATTGTTAACTCTTTTAGGCTTCTATACTACATGATCCTGCACCTCGCAATCCTGCATGTGAGGCAGAACATCGTACAACCACGCACGTGACACGTCTGAACCCACAATCCTGCAAAAAAACTCCAGCCGGGAAGTGCCCTCCACCCCGGCATAAGCAGCAATTCGCAGACCCCAAACTTTGAACCCCTAAGCCCCTACACCCTACACCCTAAGCCATAACCCTATAGGATCCTGAACCCCTGAAGCCGAAACAAGACAAAGGCAGCCTTTGCACCGGGCGCTGGCTGCGCCGCCAACTTATAATCGATAGATCCACCCGACAAGAACTTCGCGAAGGATAGGAATCCTCCGGAGAGCGTTGGGGCCTTGACTATCGGGTTTTACGTTCTTGGATTGTACATCGTGTGGTGGGTTTAACAGGTTTTTGGATTAGGCCTAGGGTGAGGGGATACTACCGCAGAATTAGGCCAGGACGCATCCCTAAACCCTAAACCCAATGATTCAGGAAAACCCTAAACCCTAAACCCAATGATTCAGGAAAACCCTAAACCCTAAACCCAATGATTCAGGAAAACCCTAAACCCTAAACCCAATGATTCAGGATTCTTCTTCTGGGGTTGTGTCTTAAGGCAGGTGAAGGTTTGACATCCCAGCCGACCTGGGCGCTTGTCGTGCTTCCCAGAGACCCCCAATATTTCTTAATTAAGGAATATACCTTAAATCTTATTAGGGATCCTACCATAATTTAAGGTATATCCCTTAATTAAGGAATATACCTTAAATCTTATTAGGGATCCTACCATAATTTAAGGTATATTCCTAAATTAAGGGATATTGGAGTCTCTGGGTTAGTAGGTTTCAAGGTGGAATTGTAAATTTCCCAAGCAAGCTCCCCTCACTGTACTGCTGCTGCTACCGCCATCACCACTGCCACCACCAGCTCCACTGCTACTAGCAGCAGCCGCTAGCATATGACTATTTTGCACTAAACTAAACCCTAAACTAAACCCTAAACCCTAAACCCTAAACCCTAAACCCTGCCGGGGCTGCCTCCTTCCGAGGACAAGCAGCGCAGGCCGTGACCGGCGCGCAGGGCGGCACCCAGAGAGGCAGAGTCGGATTGGTCCAGTGTGAAGACCTTGGGCTCGGTTTAGGGTTTAGGGTTTTGGGTATTTAGGGTTTAGGGTTTTGGGTTTAGGGTTTAGGGTTTAGGGTTTAGGGTTTTGGGTTTTGGGTATTTAGGGTTTAGGGTTTAGGGTTTAGGGTTTAGGGCTTTGGGTTTTGGGTTTTGGGTATTTAGGGTTTAGGGTTTTGGGTTTAGGGTGCAGGGCTTTAGGATTTGGCAGGTGCCTCGGGGACTCAATGTTTCAGGATTCAAGTCGGCAGCACTTCAAGTGACCCAAATACCTACGCAACCCAAAGTAGGCTATTGCCATGATAGGAATGGAAGTATCCTCCGTACATGCACTTAAGATCCTTAGGGAGGGTGATTCGGGCCATACGTTCCAAGATGCTCGGAGCGTAAGGCCCCACCACCCCCCAAACCCCTATTTTCATCTTTATGGCATAATATAGTATAGTAAAGTATAGTATA